TGTACGGATTGGAAATTAGACACTGCCTGGGGAAAGGAGTCAGTCTTTTACCAAAAGTTCAACCAATTCATTTTGCTCAGATCATGAAGGAATGGAAACCTGGAGTCTTGGATTAACAGAGCAAAGAAAGAAGACTACAGGGGGAAGAGTGTAATGGGAACATGAAAGACAAACCACTAATGGTGGGAAATATTTTGAAGAAAATGATGAAAAAAAAGAGAAAGAAAACTTTAAGTGAATACATCGCAATGTAAATAACCTGGACAATATAAAGATATTTAAGAGTCAATGGATAAATAGGCATGTGGAAGCAAGGGAAGGAAAAAGTGTGGCTAGAGATTATATGCATACTATAAACTTGGTGTAAAGGTTGATAGTAAGCTAAAAACTGAAAAATATATAAATCCCTTTGACTTTACAGAAAAGCAAGGTCTGTTCTGGGATTTGTAGTATATTTGTTTACTTCCAAAACACATTTAATGGGAAACTTAAGTGACAGTCATTGAGCCAAGTATTTCTAATATAAAGATATTGAATAAGGCATAAACCTGACCCAAAGATTCTCATATACCTCTAGTGGCAAGAGATGTGTGAATAACTTTAAAAATGCTTAAAAGAGATATATTTGTGATACTGGGATAATAGAGACAATGAAACAATAAGCAATAAAAGTGCCAATAAAAGTGACACATTTCTCTGCATGGAAAAAGTATAAATTACCCTAATATTGTACTATGTCCATGTTTGTGAATTGACTGCTGTCTGTTCTGTTGCTGTTGGGTGAGCATGGACTGTTAACTGCAGGGTTGGCAGGCCAAGCCCACCAGATGAGGCCATCTGTGCCTGCAAAGATCTGCAGCCTCAGAAGCCCTGTGTAAGGTCGCTGTGACTTGTAATCTACTTAATGGCAGTGGGATTTTTTGGATTTTTATTCTCTGAAGTAATGGCACACAATTCCAGTTTTATGTAAGTAATAGGAAGGACGAGCAGTGGAATTACTCCCTGCTACCTTATTTGTACGATCAGATTTCCCGGGTCACTCAGTCAGGAAGGAAATAAACTAAGAGTCAGCGCTTCAGAAGTGGACTGAAGATGACAAATTACGGTGTTGCAAGTGATAGGCCTAGATCCTTCTTCCGCCCAGAGTATCCCAGGCGCTTTGTTCCTGGCATACTGGAGCAGAGATTCTATGGGTTCCAGATTGTGGCTGTAGCTGTGTTGCTTAAAGCAGCCATTGAAAGCAAAGTCAGGGATCTGAATACTCCTACGTTCTCACATTGTACAGTAGATAGAAGCAAAAATATCTGACTCTGGTCGTTCGAGCGAGGTAGACTGTTTTTATTGGAAGCATTGTGTACATGGTACAACAATGCCCAGTGTCTACTTTCTGATTTCTTTGTGGATAAAAGCGAGCTCTGGATTCACTGTTTAGGCATCTCCAGTTCTCCCTCCCATCACATCAGTTAAAAAAAGGAGACTGAGCAATTAATTAGAATGCTATCCAAAACTCTGCTCCTTTATTCACAGTCTCCTTGAAACCACTAACAAGCTCCTGAGTTTCAATGCTCTTTGTAATTACAAAGTAGATATTAAGGTGTTTATGTGAAATATATGAGAGTATACATATACTGTTCATATTACAGGACATGTTACAAAGTGGGCTGTCAACAAGTAGTCACCGATTGGGAGTGTGTTTGTTTTTTATCACAGACACTGTAAAGTATAAAGTGAAGTTCCACAGAAACGCAGATAAAGAGACCAGATGAATTTATTTTATACAGCTCTCGCTATTTCTAACTGAGCTGCAAGTCAACAAATGCAGCTTAGTTTAACAGCTTAGTGAAATTTTTTTGGGGGGGATTTAGGAACAGATGAATCTCCTGGAGATCTTTTTAAAATGCAGGTTTTGATGCAATATGTGGGATATGGAAAGTTGTGTTTCTTATAGACTCCAAATGATATACATGTTGCCTGCCCAGCTACACATGAGCAAGAGTCTAGAGAATTTGAGTATATGACCATTGAAGAAATACTGTATTAGATCTATATTTATCTACTCCAACATTGTTTCCTGGCATGACAACTTAAAATTAATTTATTCATTTGTCTATTTTACAAGATAATAAAGATTATTTTCTGGGTGTAGGTATAAAGTCATCGATGAGACAGATAAGGATCCTCCCCTCAGAGAGTGTGTAGTCCAGTGTTAGGGAAGACAATAGATACATTTAAAGACAGAATAATAAAAAAAGTTTCCGTGTCTGCTGAAATTATGAAAGAAATAAAAGAAAATTACTCTGGAGGTAGATAGGTAGTCCATGAAGACTTCTCTCAAAAGGAGACAATTCAGTGAGCCCTGCATGTTGACTAGCCATATGCCATGTGAAGATCTAGTTTCATGCAAAAATGATGAAACCGCAAAGGCTCTGAGGCAACGAGGCCAAAAGGAAAAATATAAATACACAAAACTTTGTAGCTAAACCTTACTAAGTGTGAAAGGAACGGAGTGATGACCCCGAGAGCAGAGAAGTCAGCAAACGGAGTACACCTGGTAGGACTGGGAGAGAGCATGGGGACACAGATACCAGAGCAATCTTGTGGGCAAGGTTGGATCTGACATGGCCCTTAACAGCTTTGCAGAGTTCACATGTGCTCCCTGGATGGACAGGTGTGCCTTCAGGAAGAGAAAGACAGCTCACTAAGGTCTAAGCAGAAAATCGACAAATGAAATAAGATAGGGGACCCAAGTAGGGGAAAAATAAACGCAAAAACTCAAAGAGCAATGTAAACTCGTAAATCCTTTAAGTAAACACTACCATCAAAACCACATAACTTATATGCCATATATGGTAAGTTCATATTTAACACACATGTAGCAAGTGCTACAGAATGAATTACATTATTCTAGAAAGAAATAATTGAGTATCCACAGAAATGCATAAAGATCTTGGTTAACTATAAATTGTAGTCTCAACTTGCCTAGTTTTCCATAGAATGCTAGAAATATAAAGGAGTCAGAGTAGGCTGGACAATTAAAAGAAAAGCAAGAAATGAAGAGAATCAGATGTCTGCAAGACTCCTTTGCACTATGAAGAAAGTTAGCAAGAAAAAGATCCATCATGCAAATTATAATACACTGTATTAAATAAGTTGTCCTATAATAATAGCTTGTACTTTACTGACATACATATGTATTAATGCTAACTATCTTATCATACCCATTTGGAGGATCTAAGCCCAACTGTAAAGCCAATAAAGTCATAATTTAAAATACATGAAATAAAAAATTCAGATTAACTAAAGAAAAATAAGTGGCTTAATGATGAAGCAATTGTATTTTAATGAGTTTTCATTACTCATCAATGAGAAAGCCTAACATTTTAAGGCCTTGCAAACTACGGGCTATTAAAATATAAGTGCATTCTAATTGACTTCTGATTTTGTCAAATGACTTAAGGCTTTGCTTCCATGTTAGAATATTTCCAATGGACTTTTGATTTTCCATCTTGTTTTTTCAACTGTTTGAACCAAGGGTTTCATATTGCTAGGATGCTCCAAAACCTGCATCACAGACAATGAGGTATAATTATGTTATTTAACAAAATAACTGGTTAATGTTTCCTGTTTGTGCAGTTTACTCTGTTATGTGGCTCTTTTAGCACCTTAAATTAGCCATCTAAGCTATAGAGTTCAAACTTTGCCTTATACCTCTTTTTTGTCATTTATCTTTAACTCTTTTGTTTACCTTTGGCATTTTTAAAGAGCAGCAATAGCTTCTTACCTTTGGTCTCTGTGTCATCCATTCGTTCGATAAATACTACAGGAATCTATTTTCTCCATATCCCTCTGGGCTAGACATTGAGAATATAATATAAGAGTGGTGTAGCACATGCCCTCCTCAGGCTTAGAGATTAGTACGGTTAGAGGCAAACAGTGAAAAATGGACATGGGGGACTCTGGAGTTACGAAATCCATATGAAGGGTAAAAAGCTCAGGAGTGTGGATCCAGGAACTAGTTTATACGGGAAATGTTCCTCAACTGAGGGTGCCATGAAAAGCAGTGATCACAAGAAAACAAAAAGAAACATGTTTGCGTTGGGTCCTAGGAACTTCAGGAAGGGCAAACAATGTGTGAAGTGAAGGATTAGAAGAAAAGAGTTCACAATGTCTTTGAAAGGAATGAGACCTGTCCCACGTGACAAGACCTTCAAAGGGCTCTAGGGGAAGTGACGTGAGATGAAGCTAGATAGAGAAATGAAAACTTTCAGAAACCAAGTCTGCATCTTTAAAGCAATAGGAAATGACTAATGGGTTCAAAGCCCAAAGTGACACCATCAGACTTTGGCCCTTTGTTTGCCTTGCCTTTGTCTTCAGCCTCTCTCAGTGGAACTGCATTAAGCAGTGGTTTTATAAGGCCATCCATCATTTGCAATCTGCAACTAATAATCTTAATTTTTTTAAGAAAGAAAAAGAATGACCAGCACATAAAAATTCTCTGGAAGCCGCAAGCAATTTTGCTTAAGAGATACCAATGAATTTGATCATGTGGCTCATGCTAAGGGTATAGTCTTCATTTATTTGTGGAAAAATGACTCATTTCCAATAAAAGAGAGGGAGCTATTTCATCAGTGCTCTTTATTTCAAGCCTAAAATTATAAGTATAAAATAATTTAGTGCAGACATATTGGTAGCATAAGCCCACCCTTAACTATATACTGGATCTACATTTATGCTTCAAATAATAAAAAATTATATTTGGTAAGATACACTTTCACACTCACATGCATGTGCATGCACAAATGACACACACACACAAGTTCATGGTGTTATAACATCTGCTTGTATGTAGGATCTGTCTTGGTATTGGATATATAGGCATTCTTTTCAACTAAGACCAACGGGGGTATACTCTAATTTATCTGGGTCCCCATCTGGCTTCAATTGCTTGTGTAAAAAGCGCTTTAACAGTGACAGACTGTTGGTGATCCTGTCTTTCCCAGGAGAAGGAGTTGACAGACAGCTGTGCAGAGATGCCATCTTCCCCATCCCCGTTGCCTGTGATGCCCCATGCCCAAAGAACTGTGTGCTCAGCATGTGGTCTGCTTGGTCCTCCTGCTCACACACCTGCTCAGGGAAAACCACAGAAGGGAAACAGATACGTGCACGGTCCATTCTGGCCTATGCAAGTGATGAAGGTAAGTAAGGCTGCCAACTGAATATGGGTCTTAGAGGGCTTCTTTTTTAGTTTGTTGTTGTTGTTGTTGTTTGAAAGTTAATAACTGTGTAGTCTGAGTAATATGATGTCCTATGAAAATGCAACTGCAGAAGCCCAGCAATCAAAGATAATCTACTTTCTCTTGGGATACTGAGAAGTTCAGTTCTTTCCCAAAAATTAGTCTGGAAATTGACCGGATATCTGAGCAAAGAAAGAATACTTTCAAAAGTGAAATCACTGTGTTGTTTTTCTTTTATTTTTTACTCTCAATAATTCCTATTCTTTCTGTCCAAGATATTAAACCAGTTCATAGGTCTGAAAATGGCTGTCAAAATTCAAAAATGTCAATTGCCCTTGTTTCCTCAATATTTGAGTAGTCGTTGTTTTTCTTTTGAAAGCTAACAAGTAAAATATCACCAGCATAACAGTATGACTGCTACTTCACTGCAAATCATGGGGCTTTCTACCATTCAATTTCTGAATGTAGCCTCTGAGGTACAGAATTGTCATATGCAGATTGTGTTCATTTTGAAAATAGGTTGCTCCTAAATCACTTCCCCTTATTAGATGAGCAAAGTGTGTTTTGTCATGTATCCATGCCTCACTTGTGTACATTGTATGGATGAGATATGCATAGCTCCTGGTAATTGTCTCTCTAGCTTGTATCCAAATGCTAATTTGGCCGCTGTGTGACTAGCTGATATAATGTCATACTTACTCTTGTCATTCTGGAAAATAACAGGAGAAAGGGAAGCATGGAAACAAGTTCAGTGCCGTCCCTCTAAGCATGTTCTTTCTCAGGGAAATGATGTCTGTTATTTGGTGTTATCCAGCGAAACATCCCTTCTCTTTATTCACAGTTAGCGCTGATGAATGATGATTTATCTCTATAATACGTAGGTGCTTCTCTGGGTTTCCTCCCAGATTGCAATTTCAGTTATTAGAGTTTCATGGGGTTTCCAATACCTTTTGTATTTTTCTCTTTATGAACTGTTTTAGCAGTAGAACCAATAGTATTCTCATTTAATAAAACTTTTGTTCTGTGCTTTTGAAAATGTATAATTACCTGCTCCTGAGACATGAGTGAAATTTTGACATACACAGTTTTACAAAAAATTTAGTAGTAGTGTAACACAAAATTAGAATTTCTATATAGTGTCCAGAAACCTCTTTATTACTGTAATATAAATTTAAGTCTTGATACCCCCCAAAAGAGTTATAGTGTTGAAAATACCTAATAGGAAAAAAACTGAATATTTTAGAGAGAAAGTTATATTCCTTATGTTGTCAAGCAATCCTTCTAACCTTGTATAGATTATATCCAGGCTTCAAACTCTATCAACTCAGATTATATCACGGGCTTCATTAAAATTAGATCTGTGGTCACCCTACATCCCGTAAACCCTTTAGTCTTTGCAGACACTTGCTATGTGACTAGTAGTGAGTGACGCCTCACCCCTGAGACACGTTACAGAGATTTTGCCAGGTGTGCAGAACTCACTGGATCGTTATTTCAGCAGACATGATGCCACACACTGAAAGGTCGTGCAGTGCTTTAAAGGGAAATGCACGGTCACTCTTTTACATGCATCACCCACGTGGTTGTGAGTATGGGACTTTCTTAATTTTTAATTAAGTCTTGTAACTGCATTATAAGCAAGCCATGCTGGAAATTTATAGATATTTATATAGTAAATCATAAAGGTACAGAATCCAAAGCATAATTTTAAATGAAAACCAGAGTTGACCGTGTATCATAGGTGAATTTTCTATTTGCCCATGTTAATAACATTTTCACAAAGGGTATAATTATATAAGGAATTGGGTGGAGAATATATTATTCAAAAATTGTTTGCTTAATACCTAGTGTTTATAAGACATTAAAACATGCTCTCTTCCTCAAAAATAAGCCCTTACCTAATTCTTATCATTTTTCAAAATGATCTTAGAGCAGTATTTCCAGGAACATATGGAATGTGTTTTCTCTGCTAATTAATAGACTCTAATAATGCACAAAAGTAGGTCTTTTTAGTATCCCTCAATCATTAGTGTTTTGTATATCCTATAAGTGTCCTGTTAAAGTACAAAAAATTACTGTGATAACATTAAAGGGAAAGACTACTTTAGGAGAATTTTAATTGCATGACTAAACATAAAAGTATACTATACCTGGTGAAATAACTTAGCCAGGTACTACATTTGCAAAAGTATCTCGATAACCAAGTAAGTACCTAAAACTTTGCTTATTTTTATCTCCTCAAGAGTTTATGTGATGTAGACTAGATAGCATTTTATCCGCATGGATAAACTAGGCTGTGCTGCAATAACAAACTGCCTGGAAATTCAGTAATTTTAAAAAACAAGCTTTGTTTATTGCTGACGAGACATTTTGCTACAAGACTGGACCCAGGAGAGTCTGCCTTTCATGAGCTAGTATAGCGTTGTATTTTCCTAAGAGCTGTTTCTACGATTCCATTTGAGTCCTTCCATACAGAAGTGATTTATGTCATTCTATTGTTGAACGGGAGTTGGGAATGTGGTCGGCCGGATGCTCTGAAGAAGCAAAACCAGTGATGCTCATATGTACATGTAGAGAGAAAGAGAAATTTATATCCCAAAATCTCACCCACTTTTAGAAGTAGCTGATTCCAGTGTGGTTCAAGTCTGTGGGCCTGATGTTAGCTAGAGGCTTCCTTCTCTTAATTCCTGGAGTTGCTGGGGATGGCATGCCCGGAAGCAAGAAGTTGAAGCAGGAAGAGCACAGGCTGATAAGTGCAAGGTCAGATGAATCCAAGGTTTGAATGCAAGGGCGGATGAATCCAAGGTTGGCAATCTATTGGTGGCTCCTGAGTACAGCAGGCAATGGCAGGAGGTGAGGAACCGGATGCAGGATCCAGAACCAGCAGAAGTAATGTGCTTTCCCACAGAGGACCCTTGAAAAAGAGCAGGCCACGGCCTGAGGAGTCCCTCTTCGATTTGCATGAAGGCTGTGACCTGATCACGGGAAGCTGCCCTTCAGAACAACCGCTGGCCACTCACTGAGTTGATTACGTTATGTTATATCCCATGATGGGGTTTATGATATTGTGTTAGATCGTTTTGTGGAGGATTACTGCCTAACTACTAAAAATCGTTAAATGAAAGCGGACATCGTGGATCCATATGGAGATACATGGGTGAATGAATGACAGGAATGTTTGATGAGTGAGATTTTATTTACATAACCTCAAACGGCTCCCTAATGGGGAAGTCTGGCGGCTCCTAGCTCACTCCGGTGATCCAAGTTGGTACCGTCAGTAAGGGAGCCAATACAATCTCGTGTACTCGATGTGATACAATGAAAACATGACATACTTTCTACTGACATTTTCAAGGATGTAGATCCTGAATCTATTCAGGAAGACCATGACTGTCTGTCAGTTTGTTGTACTGTAATATCTTGGGTGTTGCTACAACGCTAGGAGCTGTGTTACCAACATTTCAAAATGCTAGCCATGTCGCCCATTCATGAAAGCTTTCTGACTAAGACAGATTAGGAGGGTCTGGCATTTTGCTTCCCAAAAATTAGTCGTTGGAACCCTGCAAATCACAGCAGAATATTATCCAAAATAGCACTAGAAGCTGAGTCCCATCGGCTGGAAGCCACTCACCATATACAGTGGCTACAGAAATGGACTGTGCACACCAAAAATCGTGACGACAGTACAGGAGTAGACAAGGTCTGTTCTGTGGCACCGGGGTTACCCACGGAACCATAAAACCATACTCAACAGCAATCAAGAGTAACAATCAAGAGGAAATATTAGATAGACAATTAAAAACCATTCTACAAAATAAAAATCCTATATTCTTCAAGAGTCTAAACTATGAGAAAATATTAAGGAGCCTTTACCAGACATGACATCTAAATACAACACTTGATTCTGAACTAGATCCTTTCCTTATTAAGAATATTTTGGGCAGATTGGTAAACTTGAATGAGGTTGGATGATTAGATGGTGAATTGTTATATGCATGATAATATCCTTGTTTCAATACACGCTAAAGTATTGAGATTAAAAGGATATAATTTCAACAACTTCTTTCAAAAGGGCCAGGAAAAATATTTTGAAAGTGTGTGTATTCTGTGTTGTCTTAATTAAATGCTCTCTATTTTACTTCTCTGGGCTCTCATAGGCATGTCAGTGGTTACATGGAACTAACAGGCAATATTCATGATTAAAAAGTTTATGAAGAAAGTTAGAAAGTTATAGTGCCAGTGATATATTCTCATGATAGTTGTTTATCAGGACATGTTATAAAGTTCCTTCAGATCTGCTACTAAATACACAAAGGGGCAACCACTCTACTGGAAACCTCAATCCAAAGGCAAAATCCATGGGTCAGCAAACCTTGTTTCCTGAATTAAGTGCCCAAAGGTACCCTACTCCAATAAACCTCAGCCCCAGACCACTCAACTCCCCTTCTGTGGCTCAGCAAGCCCAGCTTCCCCAACTAAGTGCTCAGAGGCACCCCACTCAACAAGTCAGCCTTCTGCACAAAAACACCCAGCGTCATTTGTTCCATGGACTGGGAAGTCTCCCCCTCTGTTCCGTGCTCTGGTTACTGGTTCTGCTGCTGATGCGTCTTTGCTGTGATAGCTATCTTCTGGATCAAGGAGGTTCGTTGTGCTCCACTCCTGGTTCTTGCTAGTAACAAGATCCTTGCTCCTGCTTCTCAGAGGGCCCCTTTCATACACTTCAGGAAGGCATTCCTGGCAATCCTGCTTCTATGATTCACAGGTGAATCTCGTCAGGATCTCCTGAGCAGCCCCACGCAGAAAAGTTCCTTTGGTGGGAGTTAGAGACTTTGGCTGAAAGAGCCACCTTAAATAATTCCCTGTCCCTACTTTTAATTTTTCTGTATGTTTGAGGCTGCTTCAGAGTTTATACATAAAAACTAAAAATAACAATAGAATGTAAAACATGTTTTAGCAATTGC